AAACAGGCACCTAAGCAATGGCATGAAAAGTTTGATTCCTGCATGATGGAAAATGGTTTTAAATCGAATGAATGTGATAAGTGCATCTATCATAAGTCTTGGAATAATTCACATGTAATTGTTTGCCTCTGTGTTGATGATTTGTTAATATTTGGCTCTAACATGAATGTTATTGGAGAAACTAAAATCATGCTTAATAGCCATTTTGACATGGAAGATTTGGGAGAGGCAAATTTCATTCTTGGAATGAAGATTACTAGAACATGTGATGGAATTTTCCTTGACCAGTCACATTATGTTGAGAAAATTTTGAAAAAATATAATTTTATTGATTGCAAGCATGTTGTAACCCCTTTTGATTCAAGTGTTCACTTATTTCCTGTACAAGGTGACAATGATGTGATAAATCAAAAGGAATATGCTAGCTTAATTGGAAGCTTGAGATATGTGACTGATTATACTCGGCCTGATATTGCATAAGCAGTAGGAGTACTTAGCAGGTTTACAAGCAAGCCAGGTAAAGAACATTGGCATGCCATAACAAGAGTTATGAGGTATTTACTTGGTACAAAAACCTATGGCTTATTTTATAAAAAATATCCTGCTGTACTCGAAGGCTTTTCTGATGCAGATTGGAACACTTTATCTGGTGATTCCTGTTCTACTACAGGTTATATTTTTACTTTGGGAGGTGGTGCTATTTGTTGGAAATCGAAAAAGCAAACAATAATTGCTAACTCTACCATGGAGGTTGAGCTAATTGCTTTAGCTTCAGCCAGTGAGGAAGCGAATTGGTTGAGAGATTTATTATTTCAAATTCCTTATTTTGAAAAACCAATTCCTCCTATTTTAATTCATTGTGATAGCACTGTTGCAATTGGTAGAGTGCAAAACCGTTATTATAACGGTAAATCCAGACCTATAAGGAGAAAACATAGTACTATGAGATCATATTTGACAAGCGGTACCATTAATATTGATTATGTTAAATCTTATGATAATCTTGCAGATCCACTGACTAAGGCCTTAGCAAGAGAAAGGGTCTGGAGCACATCGAGGGGGATGGGATTGAAGCACATAAGCTCATAAGTCATATTTGAGGAAAACCAACCTGGGGACTAGAGATCCTATAACCAGGTTCAATTGGAAGAACGATTCATATGATGGCTTGGATTAAAATGCACTATTTTTATTATTATTCCATCCCTATGGTGTGAGTGCATTTATCATGTAATGATTTTCGAGGTTGAGTTTTATTAACTCTTAATGAAAATCTGTAGCTCGTATGAGTGGGGTACTAGAGTTACAAGAGCACCCATGACAGATTTCACCTATATGAGTGTGGAAGTAGGCCACTTCCTATGAGAATTGGGCTTGTTCTCAAAAACACTCATGAAAATCGGGATAGCACAAGGCCGTAATTTGCTGACTAATAAAACTCATGTCAACACCTTGATTATTATGTGTAAGCAGTGATATTTTATTTCCCTAAAGCAGTCATAGTTCAAGTCTGAGACCACTACTGACTCTGGAGTAAAGATCGCTATTTTGCTAAGTGAAGGTTCAATGCAGAGCACACCTACATTATGCATGATAGTCTCCCTTCAACTGGTAAACTCTCTTATATATTTTAATATTAAAATGAGTGGGGTAATGTTAGTGTAATTGCATTTTATTATTAAAATAAATTCCTATAACTCTCACTACTCCATGATGTAGAAGATGGCCATAACTCCTATAACTCCCACTACTCCATGAAGTAGAAAATGGCCATAACTCTTTTATAACTCTTCTTCCATGTTCTACCACTAATTATCCCATGTTCTCCATGATATCATAACTTATTACCCCACTTTCTTCCAATTTAATTCAAGGAAAAATTCATACACCTATAAATAGGAGTCTTTCTTTCATATTGTGGTATGAAAAAATAATAGTAGAGTGTTTCTATAAAGTGAGGTTAAAGTTTTGAAAAAAGAAGAAGAGAGTTTTTTTACTTTTGTTGAAGGAAGGTGTTCATCTTGGTGGAGCTTTGGACTCAACAACTTGTCCATAGTTTGTTCGAGTCATACGACGTGATCGGGCTGTTGTATCCTGGGGGAGACAGGTCAAGAGGATTACTGCTGGACCAGTGAAAACTTTGCTGTAGTGGGCTTGAATCTCCTTAAAGAGAGCGAGATATTCGCGCCTCAGCCTGAAGATATTTTATTTTATTCATTTTATTTTTTCAACTGTAATTGTATTTTCACCAATAATTTCTATTATTTTTTCGGATGTATCTATCATTAGATGCTCTGCTATTGTAGAATTCAATAGGCTATAACTCGCATCCTCGCCGACTACAATTCATCGACCTGAAAGTCTCTATATCTCCCATAGCTATCCCGATTCCCATTCAGTTGAAGCATAGTTGAGATTTTCGACATAATTGCACTTGTTACAGAAGAAGTTACAGAAGAATTGTAGCTAATTTAGTCGCTACTGATTTGTGAAATCAGAAAAACCAGTGAAACAGAGTATTATCGTAAAAACAGAGTAGTGAATTTTGGATAGAAACGGGCGAAATTTAATAGGGAGATTTGTGTTTGACAAAATCTGGAAGAATCCTTAATATCCCAACATTCGCGCGCCTATTAAAGGAATTGTACAGCTAACAGAATTCTTTTTTAATGAGTTGTTTATATTTTGTGGAAAATCTGTTAGCAGGGCGGGTAATTTACAAATTATGGACATTTTTCGTAATATAGTTTCCTATATAGTATAGGAACGAAAAATTCCCAATTTTGATTGGGTTCAGTCTGGACCGACCTAGTTGCCAAGTTTAGACTTGGGGAAAGATCACTTTTAGCCCGCGGCAGAAACTATTTATATCCGATAGCTACAAAAGTGAATGAAATTTGTATATTTTTTTTGTATATAACATAAAAAATGTGTATATATACCAAAATATATTTTTTGGACTATTATTTTGAGAACGGCTATACAATATTATTTTTCCTTTAGAATTTGATTAAAGACCTCACTTATTTTACAATGAACCGTCGCAATGCTAGTTCTGATTACAAGATAAGCATGGGACGAGTGTAATTGAACTTTAAGCAAATTAAAAAGACCAATATTATAATAGAGTGTAAGAAATAAATAAAATTTAAATTAAAAAAAAAGTTGGAGTTACTATCTGTTCTCCAAACCAAACTCGCAAAAACTAGAAACGACAAGTGAAAATACGAGAAAACAAAAATTAATAATTCGTGTATAGTATCAATTGTCCTAGTTTATGTGTCACATTTTATTTTATGAGATCAATTTAAGTAAGCTCTTGATTATAACATCAAGCAAAATTCATTGAACCTCCAATGAAAAATGTTTGCGCCTGTGTCTACCATGACTTTACGGCTTTTCCATTTACAACGGCGTCCAAGTAAAATAATATTTTGCATTACCTAAAAAATAATTACAAATAATTGTTAGTAATATAAAAGTAAGACAAATTACATACTACTATAGACTAGAATATATTTATAAATTAGAAAATTTTAAAAGCTATCAAAAGTTAAATTCTTTATACTCAAAGCTTCGCCTTCTCTATGAAACTTCCAAGATTTGAAAGTGTGATAAGATATACGTAGTCCTCAATTGTTGTCTAGCTGTGCCCTTAGAAAGAAACACATGAGAGACACATATGCTATCTTTTCCTTTTACAAGTTGAAAATACTATTGTGTACTAATAAAAGTTGTGTTGAAATAATAAGTATTCATTGGTCTTTAATCTGAGGTCTTAGATTCAAACTCTGGATATAAAATTGTCTTTATTAGAAAATATTTTATCCCCCTTAATATGGAATTTTCGGGCGTGAATCTAATTTAATTGAACCTCAGTACTGATACAAGACACTGGTTTGGGAACCCAAAAAAAAAAAAAAAGGAAAGGGAAACCCTATCTTGCGGGAAACTAAAATCTTGCGTAGTGACGAAGACCATATATTAAATTTCATGGTTGCATATATATTGGAATAAAATGATAGAATTAGTTTGCTAAAATGATTGACTAGTCTTGATTATGAATTATATATAATTTCTTATGCACTAATCCCTTTTCAAATTGACTTAATTGGACTATGATTAAGTAGTACATTCTGGTACTGTTGACAATGAAATTTGTGGGCAAAGTTAGAAAACTTTGCCACGTTTACAAGATTAAGCTATGAGTGTCAAAGACATAACAAAATTAATTAAAGTATTCGTTCAGTATAAGCTTTACTTCAACACTTACATGTGCTACAGGGATTCCTTAACGCAATTGAAAGCCACAATGCTTTATTGCATTTGAATGCAACAGATAATATTGCCAAAATTCTTTCATTGGAATCACCAAAATCACATTGGATATTATTAACAATTCTTTTATTAATCAACAAAGTCTTCCCTTTCTTTTTATTTTTATTTGATGGGGTGGGGCAGGTGGGGAGCTAGCCTTACCGTTGAGGGTTTGGCCGAAGTCAATTGCTTTAGTCCAAATTTTGAGTTTATCTTAAGAAATTCATTAGATATGTACATATTATTAGTTTAGAACACAATAGCTTAAACAAGAATAGAATTACGAACCCACAAACTATAAATCCTGACTTCGCCTCTGAAGGGGCGGTGCTTCTTCTCTTTGTACATACTTTGATATATTTATGTAAATAGACTCTCGAAAGTGAAATTAAAATTGCTAGTTATCTTTTTCTGGTTAGGAGTATATCTGCGCTCTACGCATACATCAAAGTAACGAATGCATGACATATACATCGAGTGTGAATAAATTTTTCCCAAACTCTAAGTATCTTTGCCCAACTAGGCTAGCTAAATTGAGTGGCAAAAAAAAACTAATTTTGAAGAGATTATGGGGTTAGTTTTGCTTGAGGATGCATTAAAGTTGAATGTTTATTTTAGTATATCATAATTTAATATATAAGGGCATGGCTCTTAGTATACACAAGAACTGAATTTGACAAAAATGGTGAATTTTAAAGGAGTAAGAAACAATAAAGGCCATGACCAACGGTTGTTGGAGGCCGCCACCATCAAATCCGGCGGCCTCCTGTTACCGCCCTTCCACCACTACCACCACCAACGGTTGTTGGAGACCGCCACCACCAAAGTCGGCGGCCTCCAATTATCGCCCTTCCGCCACCACCATTACCATCACCATCAACAACTCTTCTCTTGTAAAATTATCAAGATTTTCATCTTATTATTTACAGTTTCTACTTATTGCCTTGTTCTTAATTGTCAATCTAATATGTACCCTTTAGAATCCTTTCCAAATTCTTACAACTCCTTTTCTTCATTCTCTCAAGATTTAAGCCAAGGAAATATTCTACCTTCAACAGTGAGTTTTCTATTACTCTTTTCTAGTTTATAATACATGTTCTTGATACAATTTTTTTTTTTTTTAAAATAGAAAATAAAACAGATTATTTATTACAATAAATTAATCACATTGACCGTGTAAAGCAATGAATTTATTTGTATGTTACTTAGAAATACTACGTTATAGGTAAATAGTTATTCAATAAAGTTATTCGAAATCAGAGACGGAGTTAGAAATTTGAAGTCATAGCTCGTCTAAGTTATTGAGTTCCTATTGAAAAAAATTTATACATTATTTAGTGATTTATTAATACAAAAAAAGTTACTAGATTCGTACGAACCTATAGTTGATACAAGCTCCGCCCCTATCTGCAATATTTACTACCTTTTAAATTTAATGATCAATTATTTATATTCTTTAAGTTGTCATTACATAGAACTTAAACTCTTCAATTCTATTTATTCCCTAATTAATTTCGTGGGCATTTTCAGAGCAAGAAGCAAAGTAAATTAAAACAAGTGTTAGAAGAGGCAGCCATGGAAGACAAAACTGTGATCATAACAACTCTAAATGCAGCCTGGACAGCTCCAAATTCCATTTTTGATCTTTTTTTGGAGAGTTTTAAAATTGGAAACAATACAAATTCTCTGTTGAATCATGTATTAGTAGTAGCTTTGGATCAAACTGCTTATTCTCGTTGTTTGGAGGTTCATCCAAATTGCTATGCATTGATCACAAATGGAGTTGATTTTTCTGGGGAAGCACATTTTATGAGTGATGATTATTTGAAGATGATGTGGAGGAGAATTGATTTTCTTCATATTGTTCTTCAGATGGGATATAACTTCATTTTCACGGTAAGCTTTCTTTTACTTTTTCTTTTAAAAACAGTGGTGTCTGAGGGTAAATACTATGTTTATATTAAACCAAGAAATTTCACTTTAAAAGTTAAAAATTAAGGAAGAATAATTATAATTTAACTATGGTTAAGTGAGAAATATTTGTATAAAAGACAAATGTATTACATTTATTATCAAGCCCAAATAAGTTATTTGCGATATCGATATCATGGCATGTTTGTATGCATCTTTACTATTTTATCAAGTAGCTGCTGTCTACTATCAGAATTAGTGTCTTTTGTCTCTGCTGAAATTTGAATTCTGATTTTTTATGGTTTCACGCACTTCATTGACCTTTAAATCATATCCTTAAGTGCAATCTTCTTATTCTTGATAACAATAATCTTTATTGGAAAAAGAAAAAAAAAGCTCTCTTTTTTATAATTCTTCTTTCATTGGTCTTTTCTCTAAAGTTTAACATCTTTTATAATTTTTCAAATGATGCCATTTGCAATTTCTATATATGTTGTTGGATTTATTTTTTTAAAAATTTAAAAAACGGGTTTCTTTTTTGGGTTTTTCTGAAGTCCAACTAAATCTGGATTCACACGAGAAAATTCTACATTGGAGCTAAAGCGCTTCATAAAAAAGACAACTCTATACATAGAACTCGAATGCGAAACTTATAGTTAAGAATACATGAGTGCTTACCATTCTACCACGATTCTTATTAGTAAAACTCGATTTAATTAGCGGATGATAAAACATTCTTGATTGACCATTAAGATTAAGAAATGGAGACCAATGGACTAATCAATGTAGAAAAAGAACTTGATGGACATGGATATAATGGTCATTTTTATCGCGTTTGATAGAGCATTATAAGTTATAATCAATTAAGTGGTGAACCAAGTAAAAAATTTGAGACTTTAGGGGGTTTTACATTTTTTTTTTTACTTATTTTCATATCATATTGTTTTTTTCTCTCTAGTTACATCTTTATGATTTTACAATTTGTGACCACCTTAATAATTTCTTTTTAATTTTTGAATTTTTTAGGATGCAGATATATTATGGTTTCGAAGACCATTTGCACATTTTTATTCACATGCAGATTTTCAAATTGCTTGTGATCATTACGTCCACAACTCATTCAATTTAAAGAACGCGCCAAATGGAGGGTACAAATACGTGAAATCCAATAATCGAACGATACAATTCTACAAATTTTGGTACGATTCAAGGAAGATTTATCCAGAAAAACACGATCAAGACGTACTCAACATAATCAAATTTCATCCATTTCTCAAGAAAATTAAACTAAAAATAATGTTTTTGGACACAGCTTATTTTGGAGGATTTTGTGAACCTAGCAAAGATGTTAATTTAGTTTGCACAATGCATGCAAATTGTTGTGTAGGTCTTGGTAACAAAATACATGACCTAAAAATGGTCATTAATGATTGGAAAAGTTATATGGCTTTGCCAAATGGTGAAAGGATATTTAAAAAACATACTTGGACTGTTCCAAGAATATGTGGGCTAAAATTCATAAAAAATCACTTTTCTTCACATGTAATTGAAAAACAGTCATTGCATCGAGTTTCAAATTCTACAAGTAAAATTTCATAACATTCTCGTGGAGTTTTACTTGTGGAATTTAAAATTTCATAACAATGATTATTTTTTTAGTTACAGGCTCGAAAACTGATTAGCCCTCGTTATTATTATGAATATGGGTGTCAAGATGGTCATTTTCTTTTAAACATTGTTTGTTGTTTTTTCTCTTGTTCTTTTTTTTTTAAAATTCTAGATAAATCAATTTGTTTTTCTTTGATACTCATGAAAGTGTTATAATAATTCAAAATTAAATACCTCTTGTATAGTTTTTGATCTTACGATACTAGAATAAGTCAAATAGGAAACGACATTTATCTTTTTGACATGTTTAATGAAGCAGAGAGTGGACGAGATTCTGTCCGTATTTATCTTTTCTATGTTTTATTCATCAAAAAATTTTGAAAAATATTTTTCTCTAAAAAAACAAGTTCGTACTAATTATGAAAATAATTTTCCTGATTGAAATAAGAAAACAAGTTTCATAAGTGGAATTTCATGATGATTGTCTCCTCTCTACCGTAACAGCCTAACCCCTCAGCCCCACCTCACCCACCTTCGAACCTCTACCACTACTAGAAAATTGCCTAACACCGTCTAGAAATATCGACCGAAATCAGTCAGAAACTGAAAAAATCGACCGAATTTCTATCGATTTTAATTCGTCGAAATTAGGTTGGTCGATAATAAATAGTGACCGGAGACTGTTGCTATTTTCACCGATTTCGGTCGGTCAATAAAATTTCACAAGCGACCAAAAAAGAAAAAATTTGCCGAAAAACCGACCGAAGTCAGTCGGTATTTTAATTATGCAATTAAAAAATGCACTGTCTGAGAATCGAACGGGGGTCTGTACTATAGAAGAATACTATTCTATCACTAAACTATTGGTACATTTTGATTTAAAACTATCTTTTATTTTATTTATACCCTTCACCTACCTCCCACCATCGGCCTCCACCTCCATCCGCAATCTAGTTAAAGATGAAATATCATATATCCATTTCATCACTACCTTTAATGGTACTTGTTATGTTTCTATATTCGAATTGAAATTTTTGAAATGCTAAACATAAATGAAGAAAAAGACGAAGAATAATAAATTCGAGCCCACCAATTCCACATTGTGTTCTTAAAGAACTTAATTCCCTTCTAGCATCAGATGTTTAAGATTATTTTCTTTCAAAAAGAATGATTTAACCTTATTGATATAGCGATACTTCAAATAGCAGTGACCAGCAAACAGAAATGACGGTAGAAATCCACACTTACTTGTATTTGAAAGTAATGCCGAGAAAGAGGTGAGTTCAACAAATCCTTTTTGTGGTTGTTTACAAAAATGACCCTAACAATAGTTGTTTCTGAAAAACTAGCGGGAAATACAGTGAGGGAAAAGTTAAATTACCTTTACGAAAAGGCTAAACCTTAATATAATCTATCCTTAGTTTCAATTTAGATAAGACACTTTCCTTATTATTCCGTTTAAAAAAGAATAACACATCTTTACAATTAAAAATATTTCAACTTTAAACTCTCAATTTTACCCATTTACCTTTAATGAGAAGCTTTTATAACCATACAAATGTCATGGTCCCAAAGATTTTATTCCATAAACTTTTAAGTCCAATAATTTCTGAAGTCTTTTTTTTTTTAAACTCTGTGCCGAGTCAAACTACCTCATCTAAATTGAAACGGAGGGAGTATTTATATCAATAAATAAACTTATATTTATGGTCCAACAAATCAATCAATCAATTATTTAACCAAATCTAAATCTGAAACCGAGCGAGCGAGCGAGCGACGGCCAAAGCTTGCCTTCTTCTAACCTATATAAGAGCTAGAAGAAGTGTTTTTCTGTATAAGCGCATGATTTTTCCTCTCTTTTCTCTAAGGAGCGACAAAATTTATTTTTTTATGGCCAAACACCGATTTCGAAAAAAGTAAAAAAAAAATATTCTTTTATGGCCAACACATATCTTTATTTTAGTGTGCACAATGCATGCAAATTGTTGTACAGGTCTTGGTAGTAAAATGCATGACTTAAAAATGGAGTCCGGAACCAAAATGTGGTTCTTTTAGACTCAAAAAATAAAAATATGTGGAAAAAAAATATAGTGACCAAAATATATATGGCGTTTTTTTGAAAGACGCTATACTTTAACGGCCGTTTGGCCAGTTAAGTATAGCGTCTTTTAAAAAGACGCTATATTTGTATTAATTTAAGCGGGAAACTATAGCGTCTTTTGTTGACACATTATATATATAGTGTATATATATATATATACACGTCTTCTTCCTTCCCCAAAACAGAAGACCCGTCT